TGTTCCTTATATATTTTGGATATTAACCCCTTATCAGATATATGGTTTGCATATATTTTCTTCCATTCCATAGGTTGCCTTTACATTCTGTTTCCTTTGCTGTGCATACAATTTTTAGCTTGATGTCCTACTTGTCTGTTTTTGCTTTTGTTGTCATAGCCAAGAAATCATTGCCAAGACCAATGTCATAAAGCTTTTCTCTTAGGAATGCCACAGTTTTGGATCTTAAATTTATGTATTTAATCCATTTTGAGTTGGTTTTTGTATGATATAAGATAAGTGTCCAATTTCATTCTTTTGCATATGATTATCCATAAATGCTTTTGAACCTCTTTTTTTATTTTTCAGTTATTAGTTTTTTTTTTTTTTTCTTTAAGCCCAATATGGGGCTCAAACTCATGACTCTGAGATCAAGAGTTTCATGGTCTACTGACTGAGCCAGCCAGGGGCCCCGGTTATTACATTCTGTAGCTCCAGAATTTGTTCGGTTCCTTTTAAATATTTTCTGCCCTTTTGTTGAAAATCTCATTTTATTGTTGCATTTTCCTGAGCTCATTGAGCATCTTTATGATGGTTATTTTAAATTCTTTGTCAGGGGGCGCCTGGGTGGCTCAGTCGTTAAGCGTCTGCCTTCGGCTCAGGTCATGATCCCAGGGTTCTGGGATCGAGCCCCGCATTGGGCTCCCTGCTCGGCAGGAAGCCTGCTTCTCCCTCTCCCACTCCCCCTGCTTGTGTTCCCTCTCTCGCTGTGTCTCTCTATGTCAAATAAATAAAAAAAAAATCTTAAAAAAAAAAAAAGCCCACACATTTAAAAATAAATAAATAAATTCTTTGTCAGGTAACTCACGTATCTCTAATTCTTTAGAGTCAGTTTTTGGAGACCCATTTTGTTCCTCTTATCGGGCCGTCTTCCCTGTTTCTTTACATTCTTTTTTTTTTTTTTAAAGATTTTATTTATTCATTTTAGACACAGAGAGAGAGAGAGCATGAGCAGGGGAGAAGCAGAGGGAGAGGGAGAAGCAGGCTCCCTGCCGAGCCAGGAGCCCAATGTGGGGCTCGATCCCAGGACTCTGGGATCATGACCTGAGCCAAAGGTAGATGTCCAACCATCTGAGCCACCCAGGCGCCCCTCTTTATGTTCTTTTTAATTTTGTGTTTGTATGATTATATTTGAAAGAACACTCCTCTCTCCCAGTCTTTATGGACCTGCTTAGTACAGGGAAAAGCCTTTACCAATCAGCCTGGCTATAGATTCTGGGGGCTTCTCAAACCTTTTCCCTGGAATGTGTCTTTTGGATTTATGTGTGTAGATTCCACATTAAAGGAATTTTCCAGTTTCTTTTTTTCAGAAGCTTGTACTCCTTTGGTGTCCATCTGTTGTACTCTGGGTCCTATGAAGTAGCAGCATACCACCCAGCTCTTTTTTGTTCTTGGTGGCCCCTAGGCAGCTAGAGTAGGCTGGATGCTGTCACTGCCCTAGGTCAGTCTAAACAGAAACTAGTCCCCCCAGGCAGTCCCCCCAAAAGCTGGAATGTTGGATATTCTTTCTCCCCTGAGGGAGAGGTTACTGAGCTATATTGGTTTCTGTTTGCTGTACTATGGATTCTGTGGATCTGCAGCTTGCCACCCAGCTTTTTGTTGTTGTTGTCAGCAGGCCTCAGGCACCTAGGGTACACAAGGTCCTGTCTGTGCTCCAAGATGTTCAGGAAAGAAACTAGTTCCTCAGGCAGCCCCTATCCCAAGTCGGAATGTTAGATATAAAGTCCAGTCTTCTCTTTCATCCTCAGGGGGAATTTGGGAGCTGGGAGGTTTTTTTCCTAATTGTGTGGTGCTGTGCCAGGAGGAAGGACTGTGGTGAAAGGGTAACATGAATTTTCCTGCTGGCTTTGATGCAGTTGGTTTAGTGCTCACCTGGTGTGCAGGAGCTTCTTAACTGGTTTCTGAATTTCTCATGATGGGAATTGGTATGTGTATTGTTGTTGAGTTGGTGTTTCTTTGGGAGGAAGGAGAACCTGGGACTTCCTGTTCTGCCATCTTGCTGATGCCACTCCCATCAAGTACCTTCTTAAGTGAAATTGGCTTTTGTTTTGAGAATGATGGTGAAAAATAAAATAGTTTGGTGACATCTTACACGGGACTGGCTTTATTCTTTCCTTTCCTTTTTTTTTTTTTTTTTAAGGGTTGATTTGAGAGAGAGAGAGCATGCACACGTGGGTTGGGCGAGAGGCAGAGGGGGAGAATCCCAAGCAGACTCTCCACTGACCAGAGAGTCCAATGTGGGGCTCAATCTCAGAACCCCTGAGATCATGACCTGAGCCAAAATCAGGAGTCCGATGCGCAACCAACTGAACCACCCAGGTGTCCCTCTTTCCTTTGATTTCTTGGTCACGGAGAATCAATGAAGCAGTTTGGTGCAAGTGCCTTGATATGTGCTAAGGTGCCAGCAGTCTTTCCTTCCTTTTCTTTTGAACTGTTAGTGCATGGGCACCGGGGTGGCTCAGTTGGTTAAGCGTTGGACTCTCGTTTTCGGCTCAGGTCATGATCTCTCAGGGTTGTGAGATCGAGCCCCATGTCGTGCTTCAAGCTGGGTGTGGAGCCTGCTGAGAATTCTCTCTCTTCCCTCTGCCCCTTCCCCCTCTAAGAAAAAAAAAAAAGAAATGAACTGGTAGTGTAAATGTTAATACTGCAAAACAGGGAAATGAAGTCTTAGTATTATTATGAATATGGTTTTGACCTTGCAGAACTCTAGAAAGTGTCTTGGGGATCAGGGGTTCATGAACCACACTATCAGAACTGCTACTTTACCAAATTATAACGGTTCCTTTCTATTCCTATTTTTAAGTCTTTTTTAAAAAAGTAGTGAATGGATGTTGAATTTTGTCAAATGTCTTTTATGCATCTGTTGAAGTCGTATGAGTTTTAAAAGTCAGTTTAATGTGAATTAATTTGAACCAACTTTGTGTATTTGGGATAAACCCACATAAGTCTTGATGTATTTCAATATTATTTTTCCATTTATCTATATATTTAATACTGCACATGTTTAAATACCACAAGACACTATTACTGTTATCAGTTAATATTCTTTTAGAATCACCCATATACTTGCCACTTTTTCCTCATTTCTTGCTTCAACTCCAAAGTTCTCTCTGGAATAACTTTTATTCTGCCTAAAAAATGTCCTTAAGTGTTTATTTTAGTGTGTGAATCAGTTATTTGTCTGAACTTCAGTCCTTATTTTGCCTTTTCTTGGAACTTGGAACTATGCTTTTTGGGTATAGAATTTTAGGTGGGCAGATACTTTGTTTTAGCACTTTGGATGTATCTTTCAGCTATCTTTTGCATTCAGTGTTCTGGTTGAGAAGTCCTGAAGATACTGTCTTTTTTTCCCCCTCAGGTGCTTAACTGATTTTGTCTTTGGTTTTCTCTAGCTTTATTATGATGTGTCCAGTTGTGGATTTCACTTCAGTTCTAGAAAACTGAATTCTTGGCTATTATTTCTTCAAAAATCGTTTTTGTCCCTGTTTTCTCTTCTTTCTGGAATTCCAATTAAGCATACCTCTTTTCACTGTATTGTGTATATCTGTCCTTCTTTACAATATTTAAATTAATCTAATGAAGAGGTACTTAAAATATGTTTTTTTTCAACTTTCAGTTTTTTTTTTTTAAGATTTTATTTATTTATTTGACAGAGAGAGACACAGCGAGAGAGGGAACACAAGCAGGGGGACTGGGAGAGGGAGAAGCAGGCTTCCCGCCAAGCAGGAGCCCGATGTGGGGCTCGATCCCAGGACCCTGGGATCATGACCTGAGCTGAAGGCAGATGCTTAACGACTGAGCCACCCAGGCGCCCCTCAGGTTTTTTGTTTTTAAACTTTATTATTGGAAAAAAATCTCAAACAGATGAGAAAGTATTCAGAATACTAATGAAATCATCCATCAATCAACTTTCGTAGTTCTCAACTGCTGGCCAGTCTTGTTTCACCTAATACCCCACACCCATTTTCCCATTCCCATTTTATCCGTGAATATTTCAGTATTATCTTTTAAAGATACATTTTTATAAAATTTATAAAATCATTTTTTTGAAGATTTATTTGAGAGAGAGAGCATGAGAGAGCGAGCGAGCTAGGGGGAGGGGCAGAGTGAGAGGGAGAAACTCAAGCAGACTCCCTGATGAGCGCAGAGCCCACGTGGGGCTTGATCTCATGACCCTGAGATCAAACCTGAGCAAGATGCTCAAACCAAGAGTCAGATGCTTTAACTGACTGTACCACCCAGGCGCCCCCAAAGTTTATAAGATCTTTATAAAATACTCCAGTTGACTCAGAAATATTAATTTTAAAAATACTTGAAAAAAAATACTTGTTTGAAACAGGATCCAAACACTGTGATTGATGTATCTCTCAAGCCTTTTTTAACCTGAGGATTCCCTGGCATCTTTAATTTTTCCTTGCAGGGTATTTGTTGAAGAGACTGGGTCATTGTCTGTACAGTTTCCCCACAGTTCGAATTTAGGTTCATGGCTTTTTTTTTTTTTTCTTAAAGACAACTTCATAGGTGGGTGGTGTATTCTTTCATCAGGATTAGGACACACAAAATGTTTGTCTCTTCTTGTGATGTAAACAGTTCCTGATAGATGTTTAGATCCTTTAATTTATTAGGGATCTTTAAATGGTGGCATTCTTCTGTCATTCTTTCTTTATTAACTGAAATACTTCAGTACAGAGACATTTCTTATCAATTATTGGCTCATATGTGAAAGGCAGATTAAGTGTTTTTTACTCATTTCCAGTTTTCAAAAATAATGAATTGATTTACTAGCATCCTCCAGTTCTGACCAATTAGGGTTTTTAGGTTTGTTTTATTCTCATTATAAACTAATGGTTTTAAATACATCTTATACGTTTCCAAATATTTTTAGTTGATATAATTTGCTTTCTAAGGGTCATCTATATTAGAATTGGAAATGAATGCAGATTATTTCTATTTTATTCTAGTTTGCATTTATGCCGGATCCTCAGTGAAAATAAAAGCCATGATAGTTCAACTTACAGAGGTAAGACTTTTAAAAGTATCATAGCTATTATTTTTGGCTTGGTCAAAATTAATAGATGTTCTGTTTTCCATTAAATTGTTATGAATGAAAAACAAAAGCTATGAGATAGTTCACATTATATAAAGCCTTTATATGAATATATTACCGTTAGGATTAAAACTGTAGTTATAGTAAGACTATATATTTCTGTATATAGGTGTTTGATCTGCATAATAGTCATATATTGCTTGGCTTTTATCATTGTGACATGGTATATTTGGCCAAATATCAGCAGTTGCTAGCTGTATTAAAAATTATACAGACTAGCTATCAGTCATAAACAGAAGAGAAAAGCTAGTACGGAAAAACTGTTCGATTTTGTTTGCACTAGGAAATTTCCAGAAACTGAGGTGGTGTTTTTACTAAAGCTGGTTATGTTTAGGTAGTATCTGGGGATCTTATTAAAGTCAGTTGTCATGGAAAACATTAAAAGCAAAGGAGTTGTTTACTGCATATCACAAGTATGATTTATTAAGTAAGATGTAATTAAACAGGATGTAAATTTTAATTTTAAAGGCTTTTACTATTTTACATTTATTAATTTAAAATTAGGCATTTGGATTTAGAAAAGGAGGGGCAAAAACAAAAGCAATTATGTCTAGTAAGGTTAAAGCATTTTCATATGTAGCTTTCACTGAAGGTAGAACCCATAACAGTTTTTTCAATCTGGAAGAAATAATTTATAACCAGTGATCTATTTTAAATAAAAAATGATTAAATAAAAATTCATTATAGTTATTTAAATTATGCCTTTGTGAATAGAAGATTAAAAACAATGTTTTTCTATAGATTTACTTTTGTTTTATAAGAAATTAAATATTAATATGATTAAGATTTTTAAAGAACATTTGAATTTTTGAGTGGAAAGCATTTTTTAACAAATGAGCCTTTTTTTTTTTTTCGGTCATTTGGGTAAGACCCGTTTTAAGACTTGACATTCCTAGCCTGCACCCCTACTTATTTTCCAGTTTATCCTGCTTATAAACTTGCATGATCTTTCATAAAGATTTCTGAGGTTGTTATAATGCCTTTTCTTTTGAATAAGTCATTTGACTGCCAGAATTGTAAGAAAGTAAAGAAAGACTCCTTCCTGAAAGCACTTGGATACTTAACTTTTTTTCTTCCTTATGTTTAAAACAAGTTTATAACTTCTCAGTTAACTTTGATCTTGTCTGTGATTGAAATCTTATGTGGGTAAAATAAGAGAAAGAATTTTCAGAAAACTGTAAATAGTGTGACACAGGGTGATTACTCTTCAGTTTTAAATGGGACTGTATGGATCTTTAATAACTACCAGATTATTGTTAATTTGCATGGTTGTTCTGATTCATGTATGAAACCAAAAATAGTTATGAGCGTGGCCTCATTGACAGAATTGCCAGTGCTCTCTTTCACCTGCCTTTGCCTGCTTCCTCAATACATACATTCTTTGGCTGGTATCTGCCAACAGTCAAGCTTTGGTCTAAGGGCTCCAGTTGGTAGTCCATGCAGAAAGCTAACTGAAATGTCATTTCTTCAGAATTTCCTTCGTTCTGTCTTAGGGGGATTGAGTCTGGGTAGTGTTCCCTGAGCCCTTTCCCTTTCTGCCCCTCCCTTCCCAGTTTCCTCTGCTCACATTACTTCTCCTTTTTATAAGTTCCTTCCCCCCAGTAAAATGATATTGTAATGATGGCTGATAAATAGGAGTAGCCCTGACATAACCAAGAACTAGTGTCTTTAGTGTTCAAATCCCACAAAGAATGTCTAAGAATCTCTAGAAGTCCCTTTTACTTGTGGCCGCCCTTAAAACTACTTTTTCTGAGGGGCACCTGGCCGGCTTAGTTGGAAGAACATGCAACTCTTGATTTCCAGGTCGTGAGTTTGAGCCCCACATTGGGTGTAGAGAATACTAAAAATAAACAAGGGAAAAACCCTACTTTTTCTGAAATGTTAGCATTAAGATAAAATCTTTTATTAAATTTTGTGTATAATTATAAGGTTTGTTAAGTTTTTCTCCACGTTGTAAATGTAATGCTTTTCAACTTTAGTATAGATTTTACAGGATTTTGTGGGGTTAGCCTTGGTAGTCTTAAAGTACCACTTATTGTTTCTGTGGCTAAAATACAGTAGACGTTCCTAACCGCTTAAATGGGCATTTAAAAACATGTGAATTGGCGAATGCCTTTGCTCTTTTGTGGACGACATTGTGATTGTTTTCATGTCACTTAGTGTTAGCAGAATGACCTGGGCTATTTGTTCTCTATTTTAATCTCCTTCTCTGATTAAGATTAGAATTTCCTCAGCTCCTATGAGCCCATATTCTTCTGGGACTTTAGTTTATGTTGTTCAGCTGTTTTGTCCTTCCAAGAGTGATTGCTTTTTTTTTTCTAACTTAGTTATCTGGATAACTTTAATTTTATTTATTTATTTTAGAGGTAGCACACTTGAGAGGGGGGAGGGGCAGAGAGAGGGAGAGAAGCAGATTCCCCACTGAGTGTGGAGCCCAATGAGATGCGGGGCTCAATTCCATGAGCCTGAGATCATGACCTGAGCCGAAATCAAGTTGGACGCTTAACCAATTGAGCCACCCAGGCGTTCCTAGTTTTTAATTTTTTTAAAGATTTTATTTTTAAGTAATCTCTACACCTAAGATGGGCTTGGACCCACAACCCCGAGATCCAAGAGTTGTATGCTTCACTGAATTAGCCAGCCAGGTGTCCTTGGATAACTTTAAACATGAGTGTTATTTGTTGTAAAAGCATTTTATTAATGGAAATTGAAAGCATGAAATTGACCTCATATTTCTATCATACTAACAAATAGAAATTTTTTCCTTTGCATTTTAGCTTTTATAGTTTATTATAAGCATAATGAAGGCATATTTATGAAAAAGGTATAGAATATGTTTAATAATGAATTCTTCATTAGGAATTGGGATACTCTGGCTATATTTCTTTTTTAAAATTTTTTAATTTTAAAGATTTATTTGAGAGATAGAGTGAGTGTGAGAGAGAGCACAAGTTGGGGGAGGGAGAGGGAGAAGCAGACTCCCCACTGAGCAGGGAGCCCGACGTGGGGCTTGATCCTAGGGCCCCGGGATCATGACCTGAATTGAAGGCAGACGCTTAACTGACTGAGCCACCCGGGGTCCCTCTGGCTATATTTCTTTAGCAAATAATTTAATGGACAAATTTATTTCATTGTAAAATAATTGTAAATTAATAAAATTGTAAATAAGGTTTAAAGGGATATTGCTATGTTTTGATTCCTATGCTATTCCTTTTTTGTGACAAGTAGTCAAACTAAGGGAGAAGATTTTTAAATATTTGATGTTTTACTTGCTATTTTGCCCTGAAACATTTTTGATTCCCTTCAGAAAGATAAATTGACTTTATTTTATAGCTGTTTTTAGAGCTACTTGTTTTTCTACTTTTTTTTTATTATTGAAGTATAGGCGACACATAATAAATTAGTTTCAGGTGTACAACATAGTAATTCAACAACTCTATAACTATACATTATGCTGTGCTCACACAAGCATAGGTACCATCTGTCACCATACAGTTTTCTACTTTTAATGAGAGGAAGGAGGTAAAGTTTTCTGTGTATAGGACTAAAGAAAAATATGGCCCGAAGGAGGTAGTCATGTGATCATTAGCTCCCCCCATCCCCGAATTCCTTCTCCAGGGAAGGAAGCTATGGTAATAGTGAATGAGACTATCTGTGGTTGACAGTTCTCATAGAACTGCCATTTTACGTATGTATGTATGTCATTATTTTAGTTTGAATTCTGATGGAAATAGAGGCGAAAAGATCTAGATTTGGGGAGACATTTCTCCGAGAGTAGGATATGGATACGACTTGATTTTATATTGACTGGTAGTCTTTACCTGTTGTTAGCGTAGCCCTGAGAGTGAATTGGCTGTGATCCCAATATATGTAGACAAAGCTGTGAAATTTGCTGGTGAGAGAAATGGTTAAATTAGTTTATATCCACCTGCTGGAATTCCATGCAGTCACTGAAAATAATTTGGGAGACTTTGGTAGCATAAGAAAATACTTTAAAAAGTGTGGGGGAATCCAAATACCAAATGATGTACACTGTGAATGCAAATATGTAAAACATGTAGATACGTAGAAAAAGATTGGAAGGAAATGTTTAAGCAGTAATTATGTTATAGTAGTGGAGTCAAGGTTAACTAGTTATTTTCTACTTTTAGTGTTGTGTTTTTGTGAAAGTAAAAGGGAAAAAACCTGTCAGAGAAAAGCATTAGAAGTATATTTTTCTTATTTTTGATACTTATAATTCTGAGAAGTAGGAAATAAAGAGATCTTCCCTCAGAAGGGTCTACCTTTTATGTTCAAGAGATTGTGTTCTTACAGTCTTTCTTTTATGTTCAACAGATTTCCAGCAGGCTCTTTATGAGTTATCATACCATGTCATTAAAGGAAATCTAAAGCATGAACAGGCATCTAATGTTCTTAATGACATTAGCGTAAGTATATACACACACACGTTTTTTAATTTAATAATTACATATATCTTTTTGCCTTTGATAGAAAAATCCCTAAAGTATATAACTTGCATTTCATTTTGTTCAGAATTATAGTAGTGGATGTTTTAAGGCAGTATTGATAAGCTGTTGTTGCTAGGTTGAAATTTTAATCTTTGGTTGTGAGTAAATCAGAAAATGTTAGGTAAGCTGAGAGGGCAAAGAAAAAAAAAAGCCTGTCTTGGAACAAAATCACGATATACTTAATTAAAAAATGCTACTATAAAAATAATTTGACTAGAATATTTTTCTCACAGTGAAGCATATCAAAACATTTTCTTTTGTTTGCAGTTATGTTTAGAAATTAAATATATTTTAAAATTTGAGGATTAAGTTATTTTAAATTGAGGTTGCATAGTTGTAACTAATGCTCACTTGATGCCAGTTTTCATGTGTTTGCTGTGTTAGAAAATATTAATAACTAGATTTTTTTCCTAACCTTTAGGTGATTTTTCTGTCTCTTTTATTAGACAATTTAAGTTAGATTCAGACCAGATACTTTTCATAGGTGTTTGGTATTTGAATTGTAAGATGAGCTCTCGAATTGTAAGGGTGTTGTTTGTAAACCAGTAGTTAGGTTTCTTAGGTAGTTAAATGGTGTATTATTCTGTTATTATTAGGCTGGATTTTAACCTTGTATAAATAAAATTATCCAGTTGAGAACAGCTTTCATAATGAGTATTATCGACGTGTAGGACCTGGAGCTTCTTGATACCAGTATGAATTTCCCTTGTGCTACTTTAAACTTCTGTAGCCTTTTTCTGTTAGGATAGGTAATGTCCTTCATATGCTTTTTGTGCTTTGCTGAGGATAGTTGTAAGGAATTTCTATGTTTAGCTGTTGTGATTTTTTTTCCCCCTACATATTGAGATGTATTTGAGCAGTCAAGGTTCAATATGAGTTTCTCTTTTATCCTTAAACTGTCTCTATCTGACCACAGCAGTATTAATTCATGTTGGAGTAGTCTTTTTTTTTTTTCAATAACTAATATTCCATGTTGAAAACTCTCGTCTTGCTCTTTTCTTCAAGTAGCCTGAGTACTTGTATTCAAGTAGACATAGCAAAAATTCATAGCCCTTAAGAAACTTTTGAGACTGAAGTCTGGTGTGCAATTAAGGTTCTTTCATTCTGTAAATTGGCCATTGGTATAGTCTGTTTATAGATTCGATTCTAATATTTTTCCCATTTTTTGAAAATGAATAGTCCAAATGGATTTAATATGTATTTTGTTTTTACTTAGCTTCCCCTTTCCTTTGAGTCTTTATATATACCTTTGCACCTGGATTGTCTTTGTCATGGCTTTCTCATAGTCCCATATCTCACTGTCCCATATCTTAGCCATGGAAGCATATCTTGCATGTTTCTTACAGTGTCAGTTTTTTTTTTTGTTAGGATTATATTTCTTTCCTTTACTCTCTGAAAATAGGCTAGTTTTAAGGGTTGCTATAGTGCTAGCAAACTAATTGCAATGACTGAACTATGATCCTTACTAATGGAAAATGTCTCTAAAATTGGGCATGGGAGTGGGAAGTCAGGAGACAAATCTAGAATACTTGTTGAAGTTTTCATCCAGAAATGAGGGGAGAATTTTGGCTTAGTTTCTCTAAAGGCTACAAACATCAGTGCATAAAGAAAATAAAGATGGATTTTTGGTAATGGTTTTCATCTTCAGAGAATCTTGAGTTATGGAATGACAGCTTGTAATTGTTTTTGTATTTTTTAGATTTCTGTTCTGATACCACTAGGACTTTTGCATAAATCAGTGTTGATTGAGGCATGAGCACATTTAAAGTTGTAGATGAAAAATGTTCTATTTTTAACAGTAGGTTTAAGGTACCCAAATTCCAGTGGTTTCTAACATGTAACTACTTCATTGGAAAAGTGTCATTCATTTGTGCTCTTTAATATTTCCTGAGGTGCTTGTTAGGTTTTTTTTTTTTTAAAGATTTATTTGACAGAGAGACAGCGAGAGAAGGAACACAGAGAGAAGGAACACAAGCAGGGAGAGTGGGAGAGGGAGAAGCAGGCTTCCTGCTGAGCAGGGAGCCCGATGCCGGTCTCGATCCCAGGACCCCGGGATCATGACCTGAGCCGAAGGCAGACGCTTAATGACTGAACCACCCAGGCGCCCCACTTGTTAGGTTTTCTTTTTTTATCAAGTGTTTTATCAGGTTATTTCATGGTAGTCATTTAAACATTTTTTTTCCAACTGTTGTCTCTTTCTGTTTTCTCTGTATTATGAAACTTGAATTTTATTATTTGTCAACGTATTGGTATTGGGGTTTTGTTAGGTTTTAGGTTTTACTGAAGAGTATTATTCTGAAACCATACTTGCTAGTGTGCTGTTCTTGTATTTACTATGAATAATTATATTTTTATAATTAGGAATTTCGTGAGGATATGCCCTCCATTCTTGCTGATGTATTCTGCATATTAGGTAGGTATCAATCCTTTATTTCACCTGTAAAAAGTGCTGTATGGTAGATTAATGTACTGTGTTTAAAATGTTTTCTTTCAAACTATTTGTAGAAACTAGACTGTATCGTTTCTTTATAGAGAATATAGTGTTGTAAGTCAAATGTGAGTATGATCACTGTTTATAAACTAGCTTTAGATATAGTTTATAATTTTTTAAATAGTCTGAATTTTGCAGAATGTATGTTTATATAAAATTGAGCTAAATTAAGTCATTTCAAGTAGAAAAAAGCTAAGTTTTTTGAAGTTCAGTTAGTCTGAATTGCTCAGATTTTAGTAACCATATAATTTAATCTTACTCAATGGAGGTTATCAGTGAATGTCAGAATCTCAAACTTAGGACACTCAAGAGATATTTACTTTGCTATTATACTCTTTTGATTCTTCTTAATTTTAGAAAGAGCAAGAAGAGCCAAAGTAAACAAAAGTACTTTTGTTTTGAGGATGAGAAACCAGCTTTGGAAATAGCAACTTCTCTATTTGTCCAGAATAAATAAGAATTTATGCAAGATTAAAAAGGAGTATTTCTTTGACTTAGAACAAAAGGTAGTGTCCCTCCATGGGAAGCATGGATTTAAAAAATAATGTATATTATAAATTTATTTCTCTTAATTTTAGATTTGAATTAAAATAACTTTGAGCACAGTTTTCCCCATCAGTGTTATGCTTTCTAAAACTTTGATCTAATAGAAACCTTTACCATTTTAATATTCACTTTAAAATAAAATAAGACATCCTCTGAGAGTTTGTCAAGCTGGAGTGAATTAATTTAGCTCATTAATCTTAATTCCTAGAATAGATAGTTTACTTAAATGTCTTACTGAGAATCTGGGAATTTGATCTCATCAAATCTGAATGCCTGGTGCTTGATCCTTCAGGATGTTTAAGATTCATAACAGCAGTAATGTCAGGAACAGGTCAAAATGTATGTGGACTGTGAGTGATTAATGAAAAGAGCAGACCACTGATGGGGTGACCATATGTCCCACTTTTGTTTTTTTTCCCCTGGCATAATTAATAGTGCCTTATTTCGATTTTAAAACTGTCCTGGTTTGAATCATTAAGTATAAGTTCATACTATCTATTGAATTAATTTATGCCAGGAAGAACAACAAAACCTTTTAAGCTTAATTTTTTAAAGCAGGTACTAAAGGTATTACATTATGTATGTTGCATATAAATATAGCTTGAAACTGTTTAAAAAATTTTAAAAAATGGTTTTTACTATAAATTTGTAGGACTGAAAGAGTGATTTGTAGGTAACATTTTGTGGAAGCTGTCATTCCTTGATAGCGTCAGGAGTATATTTTATGTCTTTTTTTTGGGTAATCATCAGCTATCAGCTTACTAGTAAGTTCCAGTAATTTCTTTATTGATTTATTCTATTAGGATATATTTTCCCTTCATATTTACTTTAGTAATATGAATTATTGTTATAAGTCATCGCTTTTTACTATTAACATAAATTTATGAGGATGTTTGGTTGCTCTTGGGAAATTTCTTTAGCCTATCCGGTCAATTTTTACAAGCAAGATTAGAATGGCAAACTTGGAAAGAGAATTTCCCTTACCTGTCCCCTCACTCACCCACCCTCACTGTTAGCAGAAAAAAAAAATGATCAAAGGATGACCCCAGACCAAACTAGGGGAATAGGAGTAGGAATGGGAGCTACCTCTAATAATGATAATGGCAATAATAATGTAGATGCTATTTTTGGAGCACCTTCTATGTTCTAAGCATTGTGTTATGCATTTAATTTCATTTTAATCTTTACAGCAACTTCTGTAAAGTAGGTGTACATATCAGAAAATTGAAGCTCAGAGAAGGGATTTTTCAAGGCCACATAGCCAGTAGAACAGGGTTTGGACCTGGGTCTTTTTGGTTCCAGAGCCCATAATTTTTTTTTACTATATCATGTTTTTCCAATATTTTAAGAGCTATAAGAAAAATCATTGCTGTACTTCCCTGGTTAAGATAACAATTTTCTTTAAAAGACTAATTATGTAAGAATGAGGGGGCCTGAGAGCTATATTAACCTGGAGAGGGAAGTCTGATGTAACTTGATGCACTGATGGGACCTCTGAGCTGGAGTGGGTGGTTGGTGATACTGGGACATAGAGTTGGAAATGGTTTAGGGCTTTTTAGTAAAATCATAGGGGAAATTAAAGAGAATTTACTAGGTACTGATTTCAGGGTTTATGAGTCAGGGATAATGAATGAGTTTATTAGAATATCTTCATTAGTTAGGACAAAAAGAAGAAAGAAACAGGGAAGACATAACTGTGCTAAGAGAGTCGTGTATTGATTGTTGAGATAGCTCAGCAAAGAAGTTTACTGAGGTCCTATTAAGCATTTCTTAACATGGTCAGAACCCAGAGAGTGGTACCTTGATCAGGTCAGACGGCTAAGAGGAGAGGAGACTTGGCTTGAAGAGGATCAACCTGCTATTCAGTTGCTCTGATCTTAGGGACTTTGGGGGTAGATCTTAGGGACTTCTGGGCCTTGGTAGATAGATGTTGGTTAAAAGAATGGGCCCAGTTTAGTCCTGACCCCTCAAGATCAGTATCCTTGAAGTTCTAGCCTGAGGAGAGACCAGAAGACCAGATAACAGGGAGACAGCTAGGAATCCCTGGAAGGGATTGATGAGATACACATGGATTAAAAGTCTAATTAAGAGAATGAGATTGTATTGCAGTTTATGTTGTATAAATTATACCCTCAAATTCTCTTAATACGCTTGAGCTGACCATGTGCTTAGCTACAGTGGCCAGGATATTGGGAAATGGCCCTGTCCAAGACGGGAAAGAGGAGAAGGGCCAAGAAAATGTGGAAATGTTTGATGATAAATTCTTTTCTCTTTTGATTCTCAGTTCTGGCACTAGAAAGTAAACTGAAGCAGATCAGTGGTAGGACATCTGGGGAGAACTGTAGAACCCTTAGAAGACAATTTTATTATATCACTAAAATCGGTGTCTCTTGTAAATTACGAGTTGACCTTAATATAATAGTATGTAATCATTAAAGCAATAATCCTGAGATCAGCTTTGAAATCCTGTCAATCCTGGTTGAATTTTTTGATGCTTGGCATTAAGAGCTAATTGTTTTATTTCCTCCATACTTAATAAAACTGACAAATTTTCTGAATAATCTTCTGAAACTCGGAGGTCTCAGTTTCTTAATATTTCAACAGGAAGAAAATAAAAATCATGAATAATTTTTTATTGCTGACTAGAGTAATTCAAAACGGGGTGTTAAAAATATTCTTTTAATACTGTCTTTTCGTAGAGTTGATGGCCAGGTAGTTTGGTTAGAACATGGTGCCAAGGTGGCCAAGGTTAAAGGTTTAATCCTCACAAGTAATAAAATCTTTAGTGTTAGAAGAGATCTTTGTTGTCACCTAGTTCAACTTTATACCTAAGGAAGGAATCTCTTCTTTAGCATCTCTGATGTGTTGTCATTTAAACTTTGCTTGAATATTTCCTTTTTTGAAAACATTATTTTTTTGAAGTTTTGTTGCTTCCACTGCCATAGCATGTAACTCCTGTGTAATCAACTTACCATTTTATGGATATGCCATTGGTCACAGGGTCAGTCTCCAGTATCAGGAGAAATTAATTCTGAGCATTCATACGCGTATGAAGGACAGCTCCTGCTTACTATAGTTGCAGATTTGTTTCCAATTTCAGAATGAGGCATTTTAAAAGTAGCTAGTTTTAAAGAAAATAAGTATCTTATTATAGTGCTGGAGACAGTCTAGAAAAATCAAACTTTCATGTTCTTTTCTTCCGTCATTATAGATATTGAGACAAATTGTTTAGAAGAAAAAAGCAAGAGAGACTATTTTACACAATTGGTATTAGCATGTTTGGTAAGTTATAAAAAATACTTTCCCTTTCTAGATTTTTACATTGAACAATTATAATCACAGTTAATCATGTTAATGGAGGAGGATATTGACATTCAATTGGCTATTCATTATAAGGTGAGATTTGGATTTTGAAATGGAATGCTTTGTAAAATTAGACATGCTAATTATGTGAAATATGCATGCTTCATATCAATTATATCAAACTTTTGGTGATATTCCTGACCTAGTAAGTTCCTAAATAAGGAAAAGGTAAGCATCTATCAACTGAGTAGAAATGATGTGGACAACTTTTAAACTGAACAGATTTTCATAAGCTATTAGGCAAGGAGAAAAAGAATGGAGGTAGTTTAAAAATAATAAATTCTAGAACTTGTCATAATCATTGTCGAGTAAACCATTTTATGTTCATAAATTTAGAACCAAGGAGAAATGCTATTACTCAGACCTGGAAGATGTCCTTGTCTTCGCTGTACTAGAATTTGACTTAAACAGTAGAAAGTAATGAAGGCTGAAGGTGCTGTATTACTCTTAAAGAAAAATTCAGTTGACAGACATAGGTCAGACAGAATTTCATTTGTAGTTCTTGTATTTGTAGGCTGTGTACAGCATGCATATAATTTTTTAGTAAGTTTTATTTAAAGAGCTATATGTCACATTTTTTTCAATATTTGGAGAGTCATCATTTTTGTTAAATTGAAGTTCCAAGCTTTTTTTTAATAAATTGAAATTGGTATATATTTAATGTGATTTTAATATTCTTATTTGGGAAAAATTATTTTGAATGTATTTAAATTGTGGATGTATTAGAATGCTAAGGAATAAATGGCCTTTAATATTTTTTAATACAGTATTTAGTTTCAGACACAGTTCTAAAGGAACGCTTGGATCCAGAAACATTGGAATCATTAGGGCTTATCAAACAATCACAGCAGTTCAATCAAAAGTCAGTTAAAATCAAGACAAAACTCTTGTAAGTACATTTATCTTTATGTTGCAGATCAAGTATCTGAGTATGTTTTCTTTAGTTCTCATTTTGAATACTAGATGTTTCTAATGGCAGTTTGAAGATTTTTGTTGTTGTTGTTGCTGTTAGCATGTCTTGTGTTTTATCCTTTTAAAAGAAGCCTAGGATTAATTAGTCAGCTGTGAACTTTACCTGTGTGAAACCAGTGTTAATTTTTTTCCATATTAGAAGTTAAAGTAATATTCAGTGCTTTTATCATTACCAATAAAATAATTTACAAGTATGGCTATACTCTAGGGTATATTCTTAGTCAACGATGGAAATAGTGGCATGCTATTGTTCCTTGGGATTAACAATATTCTTTTTTTGTGTTACTGGTTTTCCCTGTGTAATTAACATTGGGGTGTCTCTTATGAATCACTGTTATTTTCTATTTTAAAAGATATACAAAGTAAACTTTCAACAACTATTCTTATAATTATTCTATATAAGAGAAATATGAAAATTCAATGAGAAGAATACAGTACTTGTATGCAAGCTTGTTAATTGAATTAATTTTATCCCCTTTATGATGTTTATCTAATTTCAGTTATAAGCAGCAAAAATTCAATTTGCTAAGAGAAGAGAATGAAGGTTATGCCAAGCTGATTGCTGAATTGGGGCAAGATTTATCTGGAAATATTACTAGTGATTTAATCTTAGAAAATATAAAATCTTTAATAGGTAAGACATATGTCTATAATAATAGTATGTGTTACTAAGTTTTTTTTAAACTGTTGGAGAATATCCATAAAGACAAAATGGATGCATTCCCCCATGTAGGTTTCTTTTTTTCAATTAAGAAATGAGAGCAGTGTCTAGCTTGTACTTTTAAGATTTTATCAGTACTAGTAAAATTTGGGATATTTATGAAAAATCTTTTTGTCACTGCTACCTATGTGTTTGTATTCATTTCTCTTTTCTTTTTATTGTTATTATTTTTTATTGTATTATTTGTTTCAGGGGTACAGGTCTGTGATTCATCAGTCTTACACAATACACAGCGCTCACCACAACACATACCCTCCCCAATGTCCATCACCCAGCCTCCTCCACTCCAGCAACCCTCAGTTTGTGTCCTGAGATTAAGAGTCTCTTATGGTTTGTCTCCCTCTCTGGTTTTGTCTTGTTTCATTTTTCCCTCTCTTCCCCCATGATCCTCTGCCTTGTTTCTCACATTCCACATATCAGCAAGATCATATAATTGTCTTTCTCTGATTGACTTATTTCGCTTAGTATAATACCCTCTAGTTCCATCCACATCGTTGCAAATGGCCAGATTTCTTTCCTTTTTTTTGATGGCTGCGTAATATTCCATTGTATATATATTACCACATCTTCTTTATCCATTCATCTACTGATGGACATCTAGGCTCTTTCCATAGTTTGGCTATTGTGGACATTGCTGCTGTAAACATTGGGGTGCACGTGCCCTTTCAGATCACTACATTTGTATCTTTGGGGTAAATACCCAGTAGTGCAATTGCTGGGTCATAGGGTAGCTCTATTTTCAACTTTTTGAGGAACCTCCATACTGTTTTCCAGAATGGCTGCACCAGTTTGCATTCCCACCAACAGTGTAAGAGGGTTCCCCCTTCCTCCGCATCCTCGCCAACATCTGTTGTTTCCTTACTTGTTAATTTTAGCCATTCTGACTGGTGTGAGGTGGTATCTCATTGTGGTTTCGATTTGTATTTCCCTGATGCCCAGTGATATTGAGCACTTTTTCATGTGTCTGTTGGCCATTTGGATGTCTTTACAGAAATGCCTGTTCATGTCTTCTGCCCATTTCTTGATTGGATCATTTGTTCTTTGGGTGTTGAGTTTGATAAGTTCTTTATAGATTTTAGATACTAGCCCTTTATCTGATAAGTCATTTGCAAATATCTTCTCCCATTTTGTTGGTTGTCTTTTAGTTTTGTTGACTGTTTCCTTTGCTATGCAAAAGCTTTTTATCTTGATGAAGTCCCAGTAGTTCATTTTAGCCCTTGCTTCCCTTGCCTTTGGCGATGTGTCTAGGAAGAATTTGCTGCAGCTGAGGTTGAAGAGGTTGCTACCTGCGATCTTCTCAAGGATTTTGATGGATTCCTGTCTTACATTTAGGTCTTTCATCCATTTTGAGTCTATTTTTGTGTGTGGTATAAGGAAGTTGTCCACTTTCATTTTTCTGCATGTGGCTGTCCAGTTTTTCCAACACCATTTGTTGAAGAGATTGTCTTTTTCCATTAGACTTCTTTCCTGCTTTGTCGAAGATTAGTTGACCATAGAGTTGAGGGTCCATTTCTGAGTTCTCTGTTCTTTTCCATTGATATATGTGTCTGTTTTTGTGCCAGTACCATACTGTCTTGATGATTACAGCTTTGTAATAGTGCGTGAAGTCTGGCATGGTGATGCCACCAGCTTTGGTTTTCTTTTTCAACATTCCTCTGGCTATTCGGGGTCTTTTCTAGTTCCATACAAGTTTTAGGATTATTTGCTCCATTTCTGTGAAAAAAGTTGATGGTATTTTGATAGCGATTGCATTAAATGTATAGATTGCTCTAGGTAGCATAGACATTTTCACAATATTCTTCCAATCCATGAGCATGGAACGTTTTTCCATTTCTTTGTGTCTTCTTCAGTTTCTTTCATGAGTATTCTATAGTTTTCTGCGTACAGATTCTTTTCCTCTTTGGTTAGGTTTATTCCTAGGTATCTTATGGTTTTGGGTGCAATTGTACATGGGATCGACTCCTTAATTTCTCTTTCTTCTATCTCGTTGTTGGTGTATAGCAATGCAACTGATTTCTGTGCATTGATTTTATATCCTGCCACTTTACTGAATTCCTGTATGAGTTCTAGCAGTTTTGGGGTGGAGTCTTTTGGATTTTCCACATAAAGTATCATATTCTCTGCAAAGAGTGAGAGTTTGACTTCTTTGCTGATTCAGATGCCTTTTATTTCTTTTTGTTGTCTGATTGCTGAGGCTAGGACTTCTAGTACTGTGTTGAACAGTAGTGGTGGTAGTGGACATCCCTGCCGTGTTCCTGACCTTAGGGGAAAAGCTCTCAGTTTTTCCCCATTGAGAATGATATTCGCTGTGGGTTTTTCATAGATGGCTTTTATGATATTGAGGTATGTACTCTCTGTCCCTACACTGTGAAGAGTTTTAATCAAGAGAGGATGCTGTACTTTGTCAAATGCTTTTTCTGCATCTATTGAGAGTATCATATGGTTCTTGTCCTTTCTTTTATTAATGTAGTGTATCACATTGATTTGCGGATGTTGAATCAACCTTGCAGCCCAGGAATAAATCCCACTTGGTCGTGGTGAATAATCCTTTTAATGTACTGTTGGATCCTATTGGCTAGGATCTTTTTTTTTTTTTTTTAAAGATTTTATTTATTTATTTGACAGAGAGCGAGTGAGCACAAGCAGGGGGAGCAGCAGGCAGAGGGAGGGGGAGAAGCAGTCTCACCAAGCAGGGAGCCCGACATGGGGCTTGATCCCAGGACCCTGGGACCATGACCTGAGCCGAAGGCAGACGCCCAGCGACTGAGCGACCCAGGCGCCCCCTATTGGCTAGGATCTTGTTGAGAATTTTTGCATCCATGTTCATCAGGGATATTGGTCTGTAATTCTCCTTTTTGGTGGGGTCTTTGTCTAGTTTTGGGATCAAGGTAATGCTGGCCTCATAAAATGAGTTTGGAAGTTTTCCTTCTGTTTCTGTTTTTTAGAACAGTTTCAGAGGAATAGGTATTAATTTTTCTTTAAACGTTTGGTAGAATTCCCCTGGGAAGCCATATGGCCCAGGGCTCTTGTTTGTTGGGAGATTTTTGATAACTGCTTCAATTTCCTTGCTGGTTATGGGTCTTTTCAGGTTTTCTATTTCTTCCTGGTTCAGTTTTGGTAGTTTATACGTCTCTAGGAATGCATCTATTTCTTCCAGATTGTCTAATTTGTTGGCATATGGTTGCTCATGATATGTTCTTATAATTATTTGTATTTCTTCCGTGTTGCTTGTGATTTCTCCTCTTTCATTCATGATTTTATTTATTTGGGTCCTTTCTCTTTTCTTTTTTATAAGTCTGGCCAGGGGTTTATCAGTCTTATTAATTCTTTCAAAGAGCCAGCTCCTAGTTTCGTTAATCTGTTCTACTGTTTTTTTTTGGTTTCTATTTCATTGATTTCTGCTCTGCTCTTTATTATTTCTCTTTTCCTGCTGGGTGTTTGTATTCATTTCTGTTCTCTCTAGTATTTCTATCTTTTAATTTTTAAGTATTTCTCAGTAATTTTATAGAGGGCAGAAAATAAGCAAATGTGAAAGTTTAATAAAATCTTTATTGAATTCTCGAAACATGGAGATATTTAGGTCTTTTGAGCTTGATTTAAAAAACATCTTTACAAAGGACTTTGATACATACCTTATTTTATCTTTACAACAGCCTGTTAAAATAAGTGTGGCAGATGTTGTAAAAGGGAAGTGTTATTCTCCCTACCTTTTTTTTTTTTTAGAGATTTTATTTGAGAGAGAGAATGAGAGAGAAAGCACATGAGGGGGGGAGGGTCAGAGGGAGAAGCAGACTCCCTGCCGAGCAGGGAACCCTATGCGGGACTCGATCCAGGGACTCCAGGATTATGACCTGAGCCAAAGGCAGTCGCTTAACCAACTGAGCCACCCAGGCGCCCTATTCTCCCTACCTTTTAAGTAGAATTTCTTCAGCTTTATTCTTTTTATTTGCATTGAGCATTTGGAGGAAATAGTTGGCTTCTGTAGAAAGGAGGAATGAATGGGTAATCCTGGTTTTTCAGAATGGAAAGAGTTTTTGCTGCTATTTGTTAGTTGTGCTATCTTAGGGAAGATTCCACAACACCTAGATGTCTTAGATTTTGAGACCTGTTGGAGAAGTCATGTTCCCTGCTTTACTGGTTATATTTTAGGGGGTGGTTATGCTCCACTTCTTAGTTTTTCTCCACTTTTGAAATTTGTGTATGACTAAGAAAGTGAGAGGAAGTGTCCCCCAATCTTCATTCCTTTCCTTCATTCTTACGTATAGGGATCCAGATAAAACTAGATTTACTACAGTTACTTTTGTTTTTAGTTTAGGCTTTTGGTGATCAGCAGGTGTAGCAGGTAAGGAGCTTTTACTTTAAATTTATCCTTTTTAAAAGTTTGTATTTAAATTGCAGTTAGTTAACATAGTGTAATATTAGTTTCAGATATACAATATAGTGGTTCAACACTTCCATGCCACACCCAGTGGTCACCACCACAAGTGCACTCCTTAATCCCCATCACCTGTTTCACCCCTCCCCCCACCTTTGAAGTGAGTCTAGTTCTGGCAGCTGATTTACTCTCTTTGCTACTTCTTCCTGTTGTTAATTTACCACCAAGACTGGTAGCCCATGGGCTCCAGGGCTCTTGCTTATCTTTGTGGCAGTGATCTATTTTTAAAAAAGCCTCCTGTAGGGTTTCCTTTCTATTCTTTTCAGGGTAGGCTCTACATTTTTCCCGCAGCATTTTGATCTAGCTTGAGATGCTTACTTGGCAATATTGCTTTCCTATAGGTTTGTCTTTCCTTATCATACTGCCATGTACTCTTTTAAGATGATACTTCTCACATAAAAATTTTTATGCTGGGGCGCCTGGGTGGCTCAGTTGGTTGAGCATCTGCCTTCGGCTCAGGTCATGATCTCCATTGGGT